TGTGCAGCCAATTTTGAGGATGACTATACTAGTCAGCTAAACCCCATGTGACCATATATTTCAAGCCCCAAATCAAAACATCAATGATAGCTATCATTTCTTAAGTGCCTACTCTGACAGGCACTCTAATATATCTTATCCTTTTTCTTTCAGGAACAGCCTTAGTTGGGTTGGGTTATAGTTCCTTTTCACATGTTAGGAACAGAGGAGGAAGGTAGCTTATTCTACATCATCATAGCTAAGTGTCTGCTGACTCTAGTCAATAATGTAGAACAAGAGTCTTTAGTTCATCTGACTACTGAACAATGTGAGGGTTGATGGATTTTTGTGTTTTAGGTAGGAGAGAATTGTGTATTGTAGGTAGAGCACCAAAAAATCGAGAATTCATAAACATTTCAATGGTTTATGGGGGAAATAGCAGATGGAAATCAGGGATGATTTAAATTGAGAGACATGTGTTAGTTGTACATCTGTCATCTCCTGAACCTTTGAAGTTGTTGGATTCAGGAAAGGAAGCCTAGAGTAGGAATAGGTATTGTCATCACCATTTTTCAGCTGAGAAAACAGGCTTGGCAAGTCTGTCACTTGCCAAAGGTTAGACATCTAGTAAACCAATGGAGTAGATCTGGGTCACTCTGTGGTCTTAATCCATTATACCATACTGACTCCTGATGGGGAGCTTTGGAGGGTAGAAGGAAGTGGTATGATGATATGTTGGATGGAAAGTTATTCTAAGTTTGGAAACTGACAAAGAAAAAGGTACCAAACCCTACCTAAAACTTTCTGTGATCTTCTTATTGAGTAAGATGTTTTCCTAGATGAATTGTCTTGGGGTGCACCATTAGACTATAGAGTCTGCAAATCCTTTTAGAGTTTTCTCAATTAAGTCATTGAACTGGCCGGGTGCGGTGGCTCACGCCTGTAATCTTAGCACTCTGGGAGGCCGAGGCGGGCGGATTGCTCAAGGTTGGGAGTTCGAAACCAGCCTGAGCGAGACCCCGCCTCTACTAAAAAAAAAATAGAAAGAAATTAATTGACCAACTAAATTAGCCGGGCATGGTGGCACATGCCTGTAGTCCCTGCTCCTTGGGAGGCTGAGGCAGTAGGATCGCTTGAGCCCAGGAGATTGAGGTTGCTGTGAGTTAGGCTGATGCCACGGCACTCACTCTAGCCTGAGCAACAAAGTGAGACTCTGTCTCAAAAAAAAAAAAGTCATTAAACCTTAATATCAACTGAAAATTGTTTTTATAATATGAACATCAATGAAATCATATATTAAAAATTTGCTCATAATTATATTATCCCCAAATATAAAGGTATTTTCTTATGTTAATGTTCTTCTGGCTTTAGTTCCTGTGTTTGTGTTTATATAGTGTTCACACTGGTGTGATGCCTGGGAATCGTTTAAGATCTAGCATTTTTTATCTAACACCATATTATAAAGATTGCCACATGCTACTATATAGTTTTTATATTCTTAATTTTTGATGGCTATATTTTTTCATTAAGCACTCAGGCCATAATTTAGCTAGTCACCTATTTTGGGGGTACTTGGTTCACTTGTACTTTTTTTCTATATTATAAGTCATAGTATTATGATCAACTTTTTGTATATAATTTTTTTCTTCTATGGGGTCATTTCTTGAGGATAAATCCCCAGATGTAGGATGTTTTTCAGGCTTAATAATACAAAACTTTGATTTAGAAAACTAATGTATGCTCTGGGTATACAAATAAATAGATTATTCCCCTTTTGCTATGTATAATAATAATGGTTATTTACATTTTCTCAACTGAAGCAGGTTGTAAAAAGTTTTATTGTATCAGAAACTAGCCTTGGACCTCTTTGTATTCTTTTTGAAATGGAGAACTTAACCTTCTCATTTTTATTTTTTTTATTTTTTGGCTTTGGTTAGAGACCAGAATTCAATCAAATGGATTCTCACACCCATTTGCAGGTGACTGCCTCTGGCCCTGTTGCTCATTCTGTTTGCTCAGCAAGAGAGCCTGGTGATTTTTATTTGATAATGTGCAAGTCTTGAGATTTGGAGAATCAGTAGCCCACCTCAAAACTGACATGTTTTGTGTTTTTGAGAAAGCTACTTTCATTTGCTATGATGTGTAGTTAACAAAGATCTTTCATTTTGTTTCAGGAACAGTTGGATTTTTCTCCTGCTTCTGGTTTATTACTAAAATCTACAATGTGGTGAAAGTGGAGTAAAGAATTTTCCCAAAGGCATCCAGACACATCATCCTTGCTTTTGAATATCTATATATCTATATGAACATCTATATATATACATATGTATATGTATGTTCCCAATTACATAAATTTTAAGTATATATAAATATGAAATCTCATTGTCTGGCCTCAGTTCGTATGACACAAAATACTAATTGTGTGGGAAAAACAGGTTGGGAAAATACTCTAATTCATATTTTCCTGAAAAGATACCATAAAAAGATTTAATTTAAAGGAATTAGAGCAAGGAAGTCACATTTCTTTTAAAAACTTAAGTTGAGTACACTGTTCTTTCAGATGAAAAATTTTTTCTTTTCGTTTTTTTCCTCATATTATTCAGAGCATCTAATTATTGGAACTATTGTCAAGTAAATCTTATGTAAAATCTGCATTTTTCTAACTGAAGTTGATTATATAAACTATGTTACATCTTTGTATCTGGGTGATCATTTTAAAATGTATATTGGTTTAGCATATAGAGTTAGTGAAATACCAGATACTGTTGTCTTATTACTCAGTTAACTCTGTATATTTCTGTTTTTTAGTTGTCTATTTCTGTTTGCTGTCCTTCGGAGGTTGAGAATGTTCAAGTTTGACTTAGTTGTGTATAGATAATACATCTTTGGAGTCAATTTTATTGGGTTTTTTGCTTTGACTAAACAATAGGTGTCATGACTCCCAAAATGTTGGGAATTTATATTGCAAATATTCTTCAAGCTTGCAGTTTTGGGGAGTAGTCACGGAAACCATATCTTTTCTTTTGAGACAGAGTATCACTCTGTTTCCCGGGCTAGAGTGCCATGGCGTGGCGTCAGCCTAGCTCACAGCAACCTCAAACTCCTGGGCTCAAGTGATCCTCCTGCCTCAGCTCCCGAGTAGCTGGGACTACAGGCATGCGCCACCATGCCCGGCTAATTTTTTCTGTATATTTTTAGTTGTCCAGCTAATTTCTTTCTATTTTTAGTAGAGATGGGGGCTCGCTCTTACTCAGGCTGGTCGAGAACTCCTGAACTCAAACAATCCGTCCACCTTGGCCTCCCAGGTGCTAGGATTACAGGCATGAGCCACCACGCCAGGCCGAAAACCATATATTTTCTATGATAAATTTTATTGATAAATATAGGTCTCATTTAGGAAAACATTTGAAAAATGTCTATACATACCCTTCCATTCATAAACATTCCCAAGCCATCCTTAAGCTGAGGAGTACTTGTGTGTGTGTACTGGGATCAAAGAGGTTGTGTTGCCCTTGCCGGGGAGATTGGAATGAGGAAGGACAGAGTCAAGAGAGCTGCATTCTGAAAGAGACTGTGGGAGGGGAGTAGGAGTTTACTAGTTCCCTCATGGAGGAAGAAAATAATTCACTAGCCAGTAGTGTGCCTTTGTCTATATTGGAGGGTCAGGGCTATGACTGGTGGCAAATGGGTCTGGGGCCTAAAGCAGCATGACTGTGGGGAGAGTGACTATGGACGGCTATAGAAAGTCTCTTGACAGTGGAATGAATTTTCAGATCCCCTCAACCCTCTCCCATTCGGTTTCATAGCCTAGGGCTGAGTCCTTAGCTCTGCCCAAGAGGAGAAACTGCTACTATAAGGCCCACTGGAACCAATTCCTTTTTTCTCTAAATACTCTGAAGTGGTATATTGAACTTCAGGGAATCTTTTCTCACTGGGTTGACTGTCTGATAGTTTTATCTGAGCTCCCAAGCCCACTTATTTGCATTGATAGTAGTAGTTTGCTAGAAAGGCACAGTTATTTCTGAAGCAGGTAAAAGTCATCACCTGGATGGGGATCATAGATGAAGGTGAGGGCAGCCACTTTCAGGTCTCATGGCAGCCATCTTTGAACATCTTGAAATAGTGTGTAAGTTAGGATTTAGCTTGATTTTGGAATGAGAAATGGAGAAGAGCACTTTACTTTGAGTGAAATGGGGCTAAATAGCTCCCTGAGCCTCCCAGTGTGAGCCCATGAATACCACTTCGGAAGCACAGGGCGTGTAGTTCCTTGCACCACTACCAATGAGAGTATCAGAAGAGCAGCTACTAAATTAGTAGGTCAAGTACTTCGACTCAAGAGGAATTAGGGACTCTTAAGTTTTAGACATATTTGCCTATCTCATCTGTGTACTGTGTTTTCACATGCAATGGTTGCTTTAGAGATATAATCATTTTCTGAAACTGGGGCTTGGAACATGCTACTGCTCTCATATTCTATAAACCCTGGTGAGTTGGGGCTGAACCGAGGTGAGCATGGGAACTAGGCCAGACTGGGCTGAATCATGCAGAAGGAAGTGGTCTGGGCCAGACTAGTAGGGCAGCAAAGGCTGGAGCCCAGTGGTGGTGACCCAGGTGCTTGGCAGTACTGTTTCCTAAAAACAAAGGCCATTCACTCCCCCTCCTCCTGCTCAAACCTCATTGCCTTCGGGGTATAATTTGGCATTGGAGAGCCCCACAGACCATCTGGCCCCAGGTTTCCTCTCTGCTCCCCCACCTCCCTTTGGAATCCTTTTCATTCATAGAGGACCAGGCTAATATACCTCTTCCAGCAACCCCTTCCTGATGACCATTCCCCCCTTCTCACTGTGTAGTCCTTATATTAGAATACTTGAATGTGAAATATTGGAGCCTGTATATTTCATTCTACTTTGTAATGTAGTTGGTTGTTTATCCCGTCTCCATTCACGCAAGAGAAGGGATAAAGGCCTAGTTACGTGTCTCCCTTGCTGTTTTCTCAAGGAGCTCAGCATAATAACCAGGTACACACATAAAATTTCACTTTATTTAGCATATTTAAGAAGAATATACCAAGGACAGATTAACAGCACCTATTTAAGAAACACAAACATTACTTAATAATGCTTAGTTAAATTACAAACATCTCTGCATTCCCCAAGCAGGAGTCCGTTATTCCTGTCCAGCAAAAAAATGCATTGTAATCATTTTAGAAAGGATCCAATTAAAGCCAACCCATATATGAAACCTTGGCCTTGGGCAGAGTCTCTGGGACTACTGGCCCGTGTAACAGTATTGATTTATGAATTTGATTGGGGTGTGAGGGGGTTTCTCTTCTTGCTGAGGGGAGGAGGATAAAACCCCCCTTTCTGTGCACCTGAAGGTAAATTGTGCCAATGGAAACTGGGCCCCAGGATTGTAGTTTGACAATCCTTTGAAAAGGCACTTTTAAATTACAAATTGTTTTTTAAATTGAAAATTTGAAATATTAAAGAGAACTGTTTATTGACTGAATGCAATTTTCTATTGTTTTCAGTCTCAAAGCAGCACATAAAATTTGGTATTAAAGGCAGTTTTAGAAATGATTTAATGAGGGTTTGTGTGTGTGTATATATATATATACACACACACACATTATATAGTTTTCTAGTTGTAATATTTTGTTCTTAGGATTTAATAAAATCATCTCATGGTTCTCTTTTCTTGTCTGATGCAAATACCATTGAGATATAATTGTAATTCTCAAACTCCCTAGCTGTGACCCCCAGAGGAGTCCCACTATCTCTCTATCTAGTTACCCACCCCTGCTCCATCTTATCTCTCAGACAACCAACCAAAGAAAAAAATCAGAGCAGCCTTTTTCTGGGTTTTGGTACTGCTCCAGGAGGGCAGGGATGGCCATATTGTGGATCTGCTAAATGCAAATCCTGTCAGTTCATGGTCAGGGACTGGTTGGGTCTTGAGAGTGCGGTATGCTTCTCATCCTACTAACCGGACTCCAATAGCCTATCCTGGGGTCCTTGTTTTTTAATGGGGAAAGGATTGTCTTCTTTGATTTTGCATTCTATACATTGAGTGAATGGAAAATAGGCATACCAGTGCCAAGTTTGTTGTGGAAAACTTCCAGCTAGGACTTCAGCCAAGATGATTAGTTCACATGAATGACCGACTGTACCAGAATAAGTTCTCACCTGTCATACATTGTACTAGGGATTTAAGGAATGAAAGGCACCATTTCCCACCATCTCACCTTGGAACCATCTTACATATCTTGTAGTATACACTTTAAAAGTGAAATTTAAAAGACAAATGTACTATGTTTTACTTCAGAAACTGACCAGGGTGTGGGTCACATATAGAATTCTGCATGCATTTTATTAACTAACTTTACATATACATACTACCCATTTTTTGAGGAAGACACTATCTATGAACACATACAATCTAATATCTAGCACCTTATCTCCAAGAACACTTATATTTTATATACAGTTATAGCTTACATTTAGGAGAACTACTACAAAATGAAATACACCACTAAAACAAGACAAAAATACCAAACTTTTAACATTAAAGTTGTAACACAGATGAAAGGGGAGAAAATCCACTCAAATTTGAAACACCAAACTAAAACCCATCTTGTTTTGTCTATATTTTAGAACAAGAGAGATACAGTAATTCATCTTCAGACATAGCAAACTTCTTGTAGAGTGTACACCTTACTGTGGTTTCCCCTTGGTGTGTGTACTCAAGATATGGAGGCTTTGGGAGGCAATGATGGAAATGTCTGACTCTTATTGGCAACCTTCATTTATCTTGAGGATTCTTACTCTACTTACCAAAGAGCAGTGAACTTGCCAATGACCTGGCAGTCCGTGGCCAAGTTCAGTGGATTTCAGTTTTCCTGTTTCTTCCTCCAGCCAGTTTAGTTGCTTATAGCAGAAGACTACTGTAAGCAAGCTGGGCATTTGCCATAGAGGAAGAGATCGTTCTTAAGTAATTGGAAAGAATTTATGACAAGGGTTTCTCTCTCTCTCTCTCTCTCTCTCTCTCTCTCTTTTTGGATTTTAGGCTACAGTCTGCTGTTTCCAGCTCATTGCTTCTGTCTCCTCATGCCTAAGCTTAGAAGGGCTTTGAGGGGCCGAGAGTACCAGTCTGGTCCATAGGAAATAAGAGAGAGACAGAGATAAGGAGGGAGAGGGTTAAAAGCCATGACTGACCAGATTTTCTCTCCTTATCTTGGCAACTGGCTAGCAGCCAACTGTTCCTGTAATCTTTTGTCTGCTCTAGAAGGAAAGGACATGTTGTTTAGAGAAACCTATCCTGACAGCTTGGGGTTTGTCTTAAAGAGGAATACAACAGAAAAGACATTAAGAAGGGTAAACACTTTTGATTTTTTTCCTTAAAATATGGGGGAGGGTGGTTACCAGAGAAAATACAGTCCAGTCATTTAAATTGTTACTTTTTATTTCATCCCAACAACCCCTCAGGGTTTTATTTTAGAGAGTTCAAATTACCAGATGAGGCATAATTTTTTTTTCTCTTCTAAATGATGTGTTTCAGACACTTTAAGGGCTTTTTGGCAAAGTCTAAGAAAGAAAGCCTAGTTTAATCATGCAAATTCTTTTTCAGGTATTATGAAAAAAATCTTTTGAAGTAACTTTACCTAGCTTAATTGGCTAATTATGCATAAAATAAGGCAATGTTAGGCACCTTATAATTTTATAGGTAAAATATTTTTTAGTGTTTTTTTCCTTTGCTGAAATAATTGGACAGTATCTACAGGATTGAATGTGCCCCCCCAAGATATGTTCTATCAGGTGCTTTTTTGCTAAGAAATGAGGCACCTACTTTCTCCTAAATCATAAAATGGCACTTTTCCTTACCTGTTAAATTTGAAGTATGTATACTGTCATCTCTAAATTGGATTGGAGTTAGGGAGGAGACAGAAAAATACCTTTAATTGCTGGTCACTCCTATGGCTCTCTCCTTCCCTGCTTCCATGGACCCCCAGGTCCCTGTGAATCTGTTAGCTCTGGGCTGGGAAAGGATGGATGAGGAGTTGGGGAGCACATAGAGCTTTAAGCACAGACTATTCCTGAAGGGCCAGCACAGCAGGGGGAGAGGGAGTGAGGCAAGTGAAGGCAATAGGTATGATGGCAAGAGGTAGGCAGGGAGCTGGAAGCGCAGAGTACTTCCTAGCAGCTGGTATTTGTGGCATCTTAGAGATGGACCCTCGAATCAGAAGTCACAGAAGTCCAGGGCTTGCTCCTTATTACTGCCTTCCCAAGCTTGTTGAAATTGGTGTGTTAGTCAAAGCACCTGCGACTCCTTGGCAAGCTAGATGCTCTATTATTCTTAAATAAGGAAATCATTAAATTTAAAACTACATCATTTAAAAATCTGGTTTGTCTGGTCCCCATACTTTAATGGGATTTTTTACTGCACATATGAAGTGGCCTTGGCAAAAGAATACATCCTTTAAAAACATTTAGGGAAAGCTATTGCACATGAGGATCTGTGAGGCTAATGATGACTTTTTTGTATGCTTTCAGATTTTTCAAATGACAAAACAGTATGTGCAGTAAAACCTCATTAAGTTGATAGTGCTTTATTCAAAATAGCACACAATTTGAAGCAGTTGCTATCTCCAAGCTAACCAGAGGCTCTATTGTTCATTAAGAAGAAAATGTCATCAAAGCAGAATGCTTTTAATTCAAAGGTCCTCTTTTCCACTCTCCTATTTTCAAAAGGTCTTCACCTTTGAAGAATCCAATTTACCAAAAGAATGGACAATGACTAAAATAGGGAAAATAGGAACTTAAAAAAGGAAAGCAGTGAGTCTCAGTGCTTTGGAGAATGTTGTGTGTGCAGTTAAATGGACTTACCATACTCGTACAGGTTTCTGGTTCCATTTTGATTTGGGATTTTGGCAAACAATTTTCTCTGATACACTTTGAAGGGGTTGAGCTTTAAAATAAAACAAGAAGTTCAGTTTAAACAAAATGTTTGGAGACATTTAGGTTTGAAATCCTTTTTCCTACCCATGTAAGCATTTCTACTAAAAGGACAGGCTATAGCTACCTTGAACTCCTTCAACTGGGACAGACTTGCAAAGCAATACCCCTCCCACTAGAGGAGAATTGATCCCATAGGCCATCTCTCCACCCAATTATCCTTTAAGGACAGGTCAATACAAGAGTTTGGCAACAAATTGGTATAACAAATGTATGACTATTAATTCACTTTAAACATTTTGGTAGAAAGTTAAATAATAGTGCAAGGGTAAACTTCAGCCCCCATGCCTTGTATGAATTACCATAAGTTCCAAATTAATGGAGATGGAATTAATAAAGTTTCTGTGGACACATTGATTTGACCAGTCAGCTTGATATTATTTGGTTCTAGTCCCTTTCCTTTCCTGAGTTCTGAACATGGCAACCCCAAATTCCCACGCAGACTTATTCACAGCCCAAACACATTGCTGTTTACCTCTCCCCCTTGAGAAGTTCATGTTGGAATCTGTGAGGAGGAAGAGATAAAAGAAAATATAAATGAGCTGGGCATTTATATAAATAAAATTTGAGTTCTAATAAAGACATGGTAATACACAAAAATTAGGCTAAACTCTGAATATGGCCATCTTTATACATAACCACCTCATTAACCATTTTCAACCAAATACTGCTTCCTCTCCCTCCACCCTTATTAATAGTGGATTTCTGCATGAACAGTTGGTTGGCTGTACAGTTGCTTTAATTTGGTCTTCAGAAGGATCAAAAACACTGGCTTGACTATTTTTTGGTTCTATGTTATTTGATCGTGTTAGATATGGCCCGTGCCCTCAGAAATAAACAGGTGTGTCCCTGCCCAAAGTAATTTCAGGGTTTGGGATTTGAAAAATCTTCCTCTCTACTGACCCTAGGGATAATTTTGGGTCTTCCCAAAGTGATATATTTCAATAGTAATAATTAGGATATGTCTGATCTGAATCTTTTGATTTTAGGATTGTTTGGAATAGGTCACATGTTTGCCAGGTATTGTGACATCATCCTCTTTGTCATTTCTGACACTCTTGTATTTCTCTCCTACATCTTCAGAGAGCTTAAAAGCTTTAAAGAGAGCTGCAGGTGGAAATGACACATGTGTATGCCCAGAGGAAGGAAAATATTCATTGTGCCTTCCTTGCTCCCCGTGTGGAAATCATTGCTCTTGATTGGTAGTGTGAGTTTTGTAGGACTTTGGCCACTCCTAGTTGAATTTCTTTTTTCAGGAAATACTATTTGACCAAAAAAGGCCTATTTAATTAAAACAAAATAAAACAAAACAAAACATAAGTGATGGGCAGAGATCTGGAGAATTCTTATGAGAAACCCAATCACAAAGGGGAAATTCTAAAATAGTGGCATGATTTCTGTCCCGACATTATTTAAATAGGAGACAGAAAATATTTTAGTGTCAATTGTCAATTTTCCATTTGCAGTCTCAGCCCATACATAAACCCAGGATTTTACAGGAAAAAAAGTCAACTGTTTAGCCCCATGGATGTGTGTTGTTTCTCTATCTTTTCCCTTGGACTAACTTCCCATTTCATACATGCCCTTCCGCTTTTCCGGATCCCTTTAGGGGATCTAGAAACCTTCCTGGTATACTGCACAATGGCCTTTGTATTAGTTTGCATGATAGTCTTTGCACCAGACCGTGGGCTCTCCAGTTCAGAATTTGGCTCTCATTCGTTGATCAGTCCATTAGGTTCTGCTTCTTGTGCTCCATGAATGATTTCGTACATTGCTTTTCTTTCAGTTGAGCATAAAAGCTGTAGCCCTGGCCCACAGCTTCTGACTCGAGGGCTGGAAAGTCCTTAAGTTCACAGGCATCATCTTCCTTTTCCTTCAGAGCTAAAGCTGACATGTTGCAGCTCTGGGGAAACAGACAGAATACCAAGTACAGGTCCCAAATGGATAGCACTTTTGTTGCCTTAAGAAATTTCGAGCCTAATAATCTCTGAGGGGAAATTTTCAGTCAGAATCCTCAAGTCCTTGCTTTGAGGGGCACAGCTTTAAGGGAAGACCCCAGTTACTACCTCTTCCATATATTTATCTACCTTGTGGTGAAAAGGATGTGTGTGTAATACCTTTGCCTGAAATGGTATGGGTTGGCATTAATGGGATTGTGGGCGGTCCATTGAAAAGAAAGCTGCTCTTGTTTTCGTGTTGTGGACAGTTCGAGATTTGCCTTAGAACTAACTTCAAGGGAAAGTAGCAGAATCGTGGGAAGGGACGATCTTGCCTTCAGTTCCACCCTCTGTGCCTGCTTCGGTTCCAGGCAGGTCTGGGTGGCTGCCTTCTTTGGGGGGCTTTTCCTTGCAGAAGAACTTCTTCAGCATATCCTGGATTTCCTTCTTGATGGTCTTGTGCATGTAGCCATAGATGTAGGGGTGGATGCAGCACTGCAGGAAGAAAAGCCAGATTATTATGGTGATCACCCACTGGGGTACATTGGTTTCGACATCCACCCACACGGCCAGGACTGCTAGAAAGCAGTAGGGCCCCAGGGATAGCACGTAGGAGAAAATGATGAGGAAGATCACTTTAGCAGCTTTGCACTCGTAGCACCTGGGCAGAGGAGGGTCGCTGTTGCTGTTACGACGGCTGGGTGGGAGGCTCTCTGGGATGTTCATTGCCTCAACATCATCCTCACTGAAATTGATGTCATCCTCACCAAACTCTATGTCATCTTCGCCCAAGTCAATGTTGCACTGGTTGACCTCTACTCGGCCCTTGTTTGCCTTCATGCCATTCTCAACCTCGATGCCACCTTCCTTACCCTCCATGCTGCCTTCGCTGGCCACCATGCTGCTTGCTCTAACTTCCTCGATGCCCCTGGCCTCCATGCTACCCTCATTGGTCTCCATGCTTCTTTCCTTGACCTTCATGCTGCCCTCTTCCACCTCCATGCTGCCCTCCTTGGCCTTGACCTGACCTTCATCCTGGCGGTGGAAGGCACTCTCACCCTGGAACTCATCCTTCTTCTCTGCTCCCTCTTCATTCTCATTCTCCACATGGTCCTTGACCCGCACTTCCAAGCTGTGGCTCTTGACCTTGTACAGCAAAGCATGCTGCCGCCGGGCTGCACCAAACACCACAGAGTAGCAGGCAATCATGACAACCAGTGGAATGATGATGAAGGACACCACGCTCAGAATAGTGTAGCTGGGGCTGGCTCCCCAGATCATGGAGCAGAGGGCATTGCGCTCGTCAAAGGCAGCCTGGCCCCAGCCGTAGAGTGGGGGTGTGCTCTGCAGGATGGCTACGATCCAGGTGCCATAGAGGAGCATGTAACCACGGCGCTGGGTCATCTTGGACGGGTAGGAGAGAGGGTGGATGATGGACAGGTAGCGATCTACCGACACCACGACAATGGTGTTGACGCTGGCAAAGGCGAACAGGTGGGTGAGGCTAACCAGGGCAGTGCAGAAGTGGCTGTTGAGGGGCCAGAAGAGAGGCACGGAAGTGGCCACCACCCAGGGGGCCACAAGCGAGATCTGCAGCAGGTCGGTGACGAGGAGGTTAAAGATGAAGCGGTTTGTCACCTGCAGCAGCTGCGGTTTGCGCTGCAACACAAGTGCCAGCACTATGTTGCCGAAGAACGAGGCGGTGAGGAAGATGAGCAGCACGGTTGCGCGGATGATGCCGTGAGCCAGGCTAATGGGCATTTTGGAGAGGGGCATGCACGCGTGGCTGCTGTTGCTCTCGCGCGTGTTGTTGGGGCAGGTGGACGTCATGGCGACAGCTGGAGGGCTTGAAACAGGGTCAGCGAGGGCACCGGCCGGCGGCAAAGGGGTGCACGGACCCCGCTCAGTGCCTATGCTGGGGACAAAAGAAACAGGCGGGAGGTATTAGTCCCCTGCCGGGGGTCGGGGATTGGGTTGATGGGAGGGGGGAAACCTCCGCGCCCAGCAGGGGCGCTGCAGGAACCCTCTCCCGGCCCCGCGCGGCCCCAGCCAGGGTCCGGGCAGCTTTTATAGCTCCTTCTCTGGCTCTCCGGCTCTCTCTGCCGCCTCTCTCTCTCCCCGTCTCTGATTTCCTTTAGTCTGTCTCTCCTGCCAGAGCGTGCGCGCACTTCCTCTGCTTGTCTCGCACACTGTCTCTGGGTCTCGGAGTTTTGGTACCTCCAGCTAGCTCTCCCGCTAGCGCATGCGCGTGCGCTCTCGGTCTCCGCTTGTTTACGATCACCAATTTCTGTCTCTCTCCAGTCTCTCGCTAGCGCACTTTTTCTGTATCTCTCAGGGTGTGTGTGTATATGTGTCTCACCATTTCCTCTGATTCTTTCTCACCCGTATCTCACTCTGTCATATGTCTCTGTTTCTCAGTCTCTCGATGGCACGTGCACACTGTCGGTCGTTCTCTATCTGTCACTGTCTTCCCTTTCTCTTTGTTGCTCCCATTTCTCTCTCACTCAGTTTCTCTCTCAGTCTCTCCGTGCATGTCTCTTTCGCTAACGCACTTTCTCTGCAGCGCGTCCTCTCTCCGTCTTTCTCGCTGTCAGTCTCGTTCCTGGCTCTCCCTCTGTCTCTTTCTGATCCCTCTGTCTCTGCCTGTCACTGTCGGTGTGTTGCTCACTAGCGCGTGTGCTTCTCCGTGTTGCCCTAATACTGCCTCGTCTCTCCGTTTCTTTCTCAGTCGACTTCCCTGACGCTGCATCTCTGCGGGTACCTAGCACACCTGTTCAGCGTTGCTCGCTGTGGGTCCCAGTCAGCCTCCGTGTCTCTCCAACTCTCATTTCCGTGTCTTCCTCGGGTTCTCTGTGTCTCTTTCTGTCTCTCACTGGCACGTGCGTTCTTGCTCTGTCTCCCTCGGATCGTCTTATCTCTGTGTCTCTCCCTGTCTGTCTCTGCCAGCCTCCGTGTCTCTCCAACTCTCGTTTCCGTGTCTTCCTCGGGTTCTCTGTGTCTCTTTCTGTCTCTCACTGGCACATGCATTCTTGCTTTGTCTTCCTCGGATCCTCTGTCTCTGTGTCTCTCCCTGTCTCTCCCTGCGGTTTCTGTCGTTCCATGCGCAAGTTCTCTGTGTATCGCTCTGTCTGCCTGTCTCTCTCCGTTGGTCTCTAATGCTCTACTGCTTGTCTCTCCTGATTATCTCTCCGTTTCTCAAGCTATCTCTCTAGGGTGTGCACTCTCTAGTTGGTTTCTCTGTCTCTCGCTTTCCTGTCACCCTGGGACTCTGGCAAAACACTTTTTCTGTATTTTTGAGTGTGTGCATCTCTGTCTCTCCATCTTTCTCCGATGGCTCCTCACCTTGGTTTTCCTCTGCCTGGACCCATATCTCTTTAGATCTCTGTCTCTCTGTTGAATTTCTTTTGCCATGGAAACCAGCTGCCGCCTCAGCCACCGTGGGCTTCATCGGATAAAACACCTAGTTTCTCAGCAGCACAGCAGAGACTGCAAAATGCAAGGAGGATGCCTATTGCGCTCCCCTACCCTCCCCCCCCCCAAGGAGGCATCATCCCTGCATTCTACAGTCCTCTTGGTGGTGGCAGCGGGGGTGGGGGAGCTCAGGGAGAACGAGGAAGAAGGCAGGGGTACCCGCGGGGAGAGTCTGAGAGAGACAGAGTGAGAGACATTGAGAGGCAGAGAGACAGAAAGAATTAGAGATAGAGGAAGAATGCGAGATATACAGAGAGACATAAAAAAATGAGCTACAGAGAGGGAGAGAAAAACAAGAAAGACCAAATGAGAGAGTGAAAAACACTGAGAGGTAGAGAACAAGACTGAGAGACAGGGAAAGACAGAGATAGAAAAATTGAAAAAGAGAGAATAAGAAAAGAAGATGAGAAGCAGAGAAAGAGATAAAGGATGAGGGGAGAAAACCCGAGTGAACAGAGAGAGGAGAAAGAACGCACGAGAGAAAGTGCGAGGGAAAAGGCAAGGGCGAGAGGATGGCCAAGGAAAGGCGAGAAAGGGCCGCACCGCAGGCCAGTGCGTTGGGCAGCTCTGCAGCCGTCGGGCCATTGCACATGGGACGTCCCGGGCACCGAAGCTCCGGGGGCAGCTGGGTGCCGGGACCCCGGCATCCGGGGCAGAGCTGGGCCACTTACCTGTTGCTGCTGGAGGTGTCGCGCCGCTGGTGCTGCGTGCGGGTCCCTGGGGACTCGCCGCGCTTGTCCCGGCCGACTCTCGGGGCGCCGGGGGCCGCGAGCTCGCTTTGGGCAGCAGGCGCGGCGGGAGCGGGGCACAGCGCTGGTGCCCACACGTCCGGCTGGCGCGCCGCGCTGCGAGCTCTGAGCGGCTGCGGGGGCGCGCGGCGTCTTAAGGCTGCGCGGTGCCCTCACCTTGCGGCGCCCCCCTCCTCTCGGCCCCCGCCCGCGCCGGTGACGCACGAGGCCGCGGGCGCCCGAAGAGCTGGGCCGGCGGGTGGGGGGCGCAGCCACAGACCCCACGCAGATTTTCTCACCCCCGCATTCCCACCCCAGGCGCCCGGAGCTCACCAAGACCTCACGGACTGGGGATTGTCACCAGGGCCGATTTTCGTGCAAACCCCATGCCCTCCTAGCCCCCGGATTTCAGGTCTGGTCCCAGCCACAGACCCGCACAGTCCTTCCAAAGAGGAAGGCCCGGACTCCGGCCTCGGCCTCGACCTCTGTAGACCCTCCAAAGTATGAATGGCCCCTGGGCTCGAGAGAGGAACTATGACTTTGATGTCAATGATTTTCTACGAATTTTTCTAGGTCCTAGGAAGGGCTAAACAGCAATGCCTTTCCTGTAGGTTTTGGGAGTATTTCATCTAAGACAAGCTACATTATTATCTACTGTATTCTTTGATTGCAGTCTGTCTGTAAGTCAGTCAGTCTCTCTCTCTCTCTCTCTCTCTCTCTCTCTCTCTGCCAGGTACTGTGTTAAGCTGTTTATACAGAGAATGCTGAATCGTTACCCTAGCCTTGCAAGATAAGTACTGCTATTATCTTCATTTTATAGTGACAGAAGCAGAAGCCAAGAGAGACCACCCTACTTGCTCAAGTTCAAGTAAATATTGCATCTGTCTTAACCAAGACATTCTGGTCTCTCCCAAACACATATTGGGTTTTTGCTGTATATCACCACGGAAGAAGCACCCCCCCCTCCCCAGTGTAGGAGGCAATCTGAGAAAGGGTCCCAGACCAGGGGTCATTTGCATTGGGTCTCCAAGGGGTGAGGAAGTGTTTTCTTCCAGGCAGGACAAAAGGGGAGGGTGTTCTGTAAGAAGGAGATGCAAGGGCAGAGAGATGGCTGCAGGAGAGAGCTGGGTGCCAAGACTGAGAGAACAGAGAGGCTGCAGCATGGTGAAGAGCAGGAGGTGAGCTGGTCACATTGGGTAGGGGCAGATACTGAGGGACTTTGAATGCCAGTCTGGGGACTTTGGACTTCATCCTGAGACCCCTGGAGGGCCATTGGAGATTTGTTTTATTATGAACAATTTCAAACATACACAAATGTAATGAGAATAATAAAATAAACCTCCATGTTCCCTTCACCCAACCGTGACAAGGATAAATAGTTTGCCATTCTTATTCATTGATGGTTTTTAGGTAGGGCAGTGTGATGGGGTTTCCGTTTTTCTAGAGTCTCTTAGGAGCAGGGCTGGGGCAAGGGTGGATAGGGTGGTAAGTAGAGAAAGCAGAAATGAGGCTAAGGCAGGAGACACATGGAGGGTCTTAACAAGTCACACAGGGAGGGCTGAGCAGATACCCACCGAGAGACAAAATTGACAGTGGAGAAGAATAAGTGTGAGGGAGTGTTGGGGAGGGTCTAGCATGAGCACAGGATTCAGAGTTGTTTGATGGGCTGGATGGAGATGCCCCCCTTTCCATCCCCTACCTCTGGGACAGGGAGACAAGACAGGTGTGTGATCAGGCCCCAGGATGCTCTGTGGATTCAGAGTCCTGCATTTGCTCTTAGATCATTTGTCTTTTTTCTGCTAGGCCTGATTTTATCTTCCCAAGGTTGAATGGTAAAAACCTGGTCATTTTTCCTGGAGACAGTTCCCGTGATAATCACTCACAGTTATTAATTCCCAGCTGCATGCTAGCCATGGTGCAGAATCCTGGGTGGCATGCACTGTCAAACCGGCAGTTCTTTCAGACTCAAATATTTTACAATCTCTTGGGAGGCAGTTGAGCTGCTAGAAGTGGACAGAGATGAAGGCCAGTCCTTCTTAGATATTTCCTTTTTTTCACTGTGGTTTAGACAGTGCCCTGTACTGCTGGGATCCAGCAGGGGACAGGGAGAAAACCTCTAGACACATGTTAAAAATCAGTGCCTCAGAGAGACAGGCTCGTGGAGTCTACGGCTATGCTTTTGGGCACAAGGGGGGATGACAGGGAGTGAAAGAATCTAGGTGGGATGAGGCCTCAGCAATGGAGGCCAGCCCGCCTGCCAGAGATAGTAAGAAAGCCAGGGAAATGCTGGGGAATAAATTCCAGGTACTTTACTGTACAGGAACATGTTTGAGGGTGGTTAATCCTCAAATGCCTGTTTCCTCTCAGATGTGAACAGAGTTGGTATCCTTGGATTTGAAAGACATTCAAACATCAGCTCCCCAACTGGAGGTATGTGGGGGGCCCTGCAGAATGTGGATTTGGCTTTCAACCCTGCAGTCTCTGATTCTGGTGGCCTTGAAAAAGCCCTTCTACTGACAAGCCTTGTTAGATTCTCGGAAGGGTCTTTGAGATGAGCCAGGGAGAGTTTGAGATGATGGCTCAAGAAGTCACTTAGTCCATTTCCCTACATGTATTCAGTAGCAGCAGAACTACAGTCAAGCTAATGGTATTAATGGGCCAGGGCTGAAGGGCAGGAAGTTACCAACAAGAAAGGTCTCTAGGGCCTGATGACAATCACAAGTTACAACAGCAATCAGCAGCGTGCCAGCCTCAGACTTGTTCACCTTGTCAGGCCAAGTGCCCCGACTGATGTCCTAATGGCCAGATGAGAGAAATCAGAAAGCCCAAGATCCAGCCAGGTATTGGTTCTAGGCGCTGGTTCTAGTAATAATGGGTACAAGAGTCCTTGAGTGTCTACCATGTGCCAAGCACTATGCTTACTTTATTGTATTTAATCCTTGAGGAAACTCTGCATGTTACGAATTAATACTGTATTGTTTGAAAGCAAGACACCATATGTACTATTAAGAAAAAAAAGTTGCAAATTTAACCATCATGCCACCACTAGCAAGATACATCTTGATTTCAAAGATGCTAAAATGTAAACCAAAACCAAAACCAAAAACAAAAAACAACAAAAAAAAGTGCTTTAGAATCAATATAAGACAGTACCATCCCTGTCCTTATGGAGAGGTCAAGTAACTTACACAAGGTCACACAGCAAATAAAAGTGTTGGAGCTGAGAGTTAAAACATGTTCTGACTCCAAGGCAAAGGCATTTCGCAGTTGACTTCGAGGAAGGGTCCAGAGGGATGACAGAAGGTCTCCAAGATGCAGCCCAGACAGAATATTTGAATCTAGGTGAAGGGGAGCTAAGAATTGCTAGATTTGTGGGAAGAGAAATGCTGCAATGGTAATAGCTTCTTTTTGTAGAACACATGGTTCCCATAGGTGGTGAAATGACTAAATCAGTCAATCTAAATTCTAAGTCACACTCCTTCTTGCTTAGCAAGTTCATAATAAGTCAATGGGGAAAAATATACGGTTTTGTTCTGGAGTGCCTACCCATGGGGGTGTTTTAAATTTTTCAGTGTTATGCATTACTCTGGTATTCACTTTAGGCTAACTCCTAGGAGTTATGTTTGCAAAACTTAAACAAAATCAAGTACCATCTGGGTATGAGCTAATATTGCACGTTCTGTGGGCTTGGGCAGTACAGAAGGTCTGGATTTCAAAGCTATGTCTACCTAAATAAACTGGTTTGGAAGAGAAAATCAGTTGAAAATAACTGGATGGATTAAAACTGGAGAGCAGAAGACTTGGTTTCTAGTCCTAATTTGGTGGCTAACTTGCTATGTAACTTTGGGAAGATCCCTCTGATCTCAGTTCTGTAATCCATCAAATGAGTGTGTGTGTGTGTGTGTGTCTGTGTGTGTGTGTCTGTGTGTGTGTATAGGAGGGTGGATGTTAGGTAATATTTAAGGATTCTGTCGGTTTATGACCTTTGATTCCATCTATTTTCTATCTGGGTGTTAATAAAGAATCCAAAACTAATCCTACACAAATATTAAAAAAAAAATAACCTGACAGCTGGACTCTGCTTCTGGCTATGAAGGAGTAACAGGGACTAGATTTACCCTTCTATCTCAAACAACTAAAAAAGGTGGACAAACTATCTGAAATAATGGTTGTCAGACATTGGAAAATGTCAGGCAGTACAGCACAGTGGTCCCCAAGAAAAGGTAAAAAAAATGAGGTGAGCCCTACAATTGCCTCACTTTACTACCTAGAGAGAGTTTCCAGGCCTCTTTGCAGAAAGGAAGCTGAGCCTGGATGTCTGCCTAAATTGAGGACACAGAGTTCAGAATTCAAAAAGGTCAGGGTGACCAGAATTTGCAGGGTGAGGTGCTGGAGAGGAGCTGCCCCAAAAGAGAGTTCCAGAGATCTGTAAATGGTTCCCCTGAAGTCTTTGGCTGAATACTGATCAGCACATGTATGTGAGGAAACCACACAAATGTAAGGAAAGAACCACTCAAAAGAAGTAGGTGGAGTGATTTCTAGAGCTCACATGAGGCTGAAAATAGCTCAGTTTCCCTATATAGAGAAAAAACTTCATAATATACAGACCATCAGACTGAGTGCTCAGAAGATTTCCTCAATAGTGGAGCTGAATTAGCCTTTGTGTGAAGTTTGCTCTGGTATCACATACCAAAGCTTAAAAGCAGGTTTTGAAAGGATCAAACTGTTTCCAAGTGACTTTATGGAAACACAGAGCAAGGCTCAACAATATTTATAGGAGCACAAAAATATTTGGCACTCGATAAGGTAAAACTTGCAAATCCATTAAAATGTTTCAGGGCATGCAAGTAGGAATATGACCCATAATGATAAGAAAAATCCTTAAATAGAAGCAGACACTGAAGATAGAATTGGTAGACAAGGACATTAAAATGATTTTTTAAAAAGTATACTTTATATGTTCAAGGGGGGTAGAGGAAAGTGTGGGCATGTTAAGGAGAAAAATGGAAGACATAAAACAAACTCAAATCTTACTTCTAGAGATCAAAAATATAATGTTTGATATAAAGATACAGTGTATGACACTAGCAGCCTGTTAGATGC